TGATAACAGCAGAAAAAAAAGGGAGAACTCTTATAGAATAGGGGAGTTCAACTCCATTATATTCAGTCTTATTAACATGCAGGGTTTTCCCAAATTATCCTCATACACATGTGGAAATATTATAATGACTAACTGGACATCATTTTCCATGACTGCTTTCTCAAAGTTACAATTTATGCAGCAGCATTGTAATCATTCCCACTCTCAAAACCCTTCTGTTCACTAGTTTGTAAAATACAACCATAATTGACTACCTTGGTGGCTAATTTGCAAAAGCTATTACATTGCTTCTGGACTCTACTTTTCTTTTACTGATATGGATTTATTTAGAATCCAAATTATACAAAGAATCACTGTGTAATTTTACTTTGTAGTTCCTGATGTCATTATTGACCATTTATTGTGTCTATAATGTATAAAGCACATAACATGCATAAGTCATTAATGTTTGTGGCTTTGGGTATGTTCACTTCTTATTTGTAAAGTAAAAGTCTTCATGAAGACCTGCATCCTCTTCTAAATGTTCAAAATAAAGTATTGATAATATCATTACACCTGTTAAATGTATCTGATCCATTAGTGAATTATTGACTTTGCACACAGGTATTGTGTGTTCGTGTGCACATGTGTGTCCTCTCGGTCTGCCTGTAATTTGCCTGTATCCTTTCACTAATAGAAATCTTTCAGTGGTAGTATAAACTGCTCTCCTCACTTTCTCAACATATGCTCATCATTTCTTTATTATGGTCTGAATTTTCTCACAGATATTTCTCAGAAAATGTTGTTACTAGGGTTATCAATAATCTCCTGGACTTCAATAGGAAGCTGTCTTGAGCACACTCTGACATTTAATGTTATTTATGTCCACTCATCTTGATATGTTATTAGAGGACCTCTTCCTGGTTTTCCTTTTGTGCCACTGTTCATTCTCTCCTTTTCTGCTACATGCTAGAATTTCTCTAAGTTTTTTGTCCTTGCTCTTCATTTTCTCTCGAGTGCTCTTATGCTACCAAGTGCTACTCAAAATGAGTATTGCTGCTCCCACTGATGGATAACAGTTGTGTGCTGGCAACATACAAAATAACAGAGCAAATGTTGCACTTTTTAGAAAAAAATTAAAAAGTGAGTACATTTTCAATAAGTACATGCCAGTGGTGGAATGTTCCCATATATGAGCCCCACCTACCCTAAAGCCAAATCTGGGGGCAAATCTTTGAGTAACAGGTTCTTTGCCATCCATATAAATTGGACCAATTGACAATAATTTTGAGCATCTGTTTTCCCACATAATTAGCTAACATGATAAGCCATGAAGTGTTTATGACACAAAGCTATGAACTTTGACAATCTAATAGGTAAAAATATGGTCAGATATGTAGATATAGATATAGATATAGATGCTCCAGTTAAGAGACTGGCCCGGCCAACCTTGGCTTTTGAGTTGTGAGACCCTAAACTGAGCCCACCCTCTGTTCTGACCTAAAGAACTGTGAAAAACATGGGTGTTGTTTTATGTCACTGAGTTTGTGGTAATTTGTTATGGCAGCAATCCAATACTAAAAGAGTTCCCCATGGAGAACAGGTATAACCACAATTAGCACAGGGTCATATAGGATAGAATAGAAAAGAGACAAGAAAAAGGTTCAGAAAGAAAGTAATAAAAAAGACAGGAAGAGATTATCCAACATACTTATAACTGATTTCCCTGAAGGAGGGAAAAAAAGTAAATCAAAGGAACAGAGGAAATATGTTAAGATAATAAATTAAGAAAAAACTTTGGTGAAATAAAATCTCTGAATTTACCTATCAAAAGGATCCAATCATGTACCTGGAAAAACTGAGAAAGAATGGTAAATTCCAAAAGCTATCTCAGTAAAGCTATTGCATATTTTTTTAAAAAACAAAATGTCCTCTGAACCTCCAGAAGAAAATGGTCAAGTTTTTATATAGGAAAGAAAACACAAAATGGAACAGCAGAGCAAAATTTTCAAGAAGTTAAAGAAAAGAATAGAGTATGAGGCAAGATTTTATAATGAGCATTTTTTTTAAATCTCAGGAAATACTATAGATATGGACACTTCCCATAAATAGAGACTTTCACAAGGAAAAGATATAGAAAGATTTGGAGACATTTTGGTAGTGAACATACATATTCGAAGATCTAGTAGTAACATAAAGGCAGTATTAAGGTTCATGGAATAATGTGCAAAAGTTTTTGCTGTGATGAAGTAGAGATGGCACAACTAAAAATATGAAGAGAAAGGAGAAAGAAATACAGACTAACTTGATTCATTAACATATAGGGAGAAATTGAAACATTATTTAAAGCTGACATGAAAGTAAAAAAAAACAAATAAAAAAAGAGAGAACTAGAAGTGATTATAGAAAGGTATTGGTATAAACTTAACTTATGGGAACAACAAAAGTGAACACAACATATACCATAAAATAGCATGACAAAACTGTAAGATCTTTTCATATTAAAGATATTAGTTCTTTTTTAAGTATAATGCAGCTATTGTCTCCCAATGTATCATTTAATTTATTTTGATTGCCTGCCATGGATATTTTTATTTATTTGTAATAATTATATCAATCTTTCATTTTATAACTTCTAGATGTGTCTTTTAGAGAGACCTCCATTCTGTAATTACATATATAAATATATTTAATATTTAATATATTTATAAATATAAAATATATTAATTAGTTTTATTTACAGAAAAATATTTACATAAATGTTATTTAATAATCAAATATATAATTATATGTAATATATGTTATATATAAATATATGTTTGGTATGTATTTAATATATATTTATAGAAATTCTCCAGTATTTTCTTCTAGTACTTTTATAGTTTCATGATTGATTCATTTAGTTGGGGAGCTGGAAGGATTGAGCAAAAAAGAGAAAAAACTCATGGACATGGACAACAGTGTGGTGATTGCTGAGGGTGGGATTGGGAGGAAGTGGGGGAGGGTATAAAGGGGGAAAATGGTGATGGTGTTGTGGAATCATGCTACTGAAACCTCTATAATTTTGTTAACTAGTGTTCCCCTAAATAAAGGCAAAAAGACAAAAGAAAATAAAAAGAATGGTAATAGACAAAAGCTTCTTCTTTCCTACAGGTTTTCTGTTAGCATCATCACTGAGTGAATACTTCATCTCTTTTCCACTGACATGTGATGCAAGTCTTATTGTATAACAAACTCCTGTATGTTTGGGGAATTATTTCTTAGATTTCAAATTGTTCAATTTATATCTATTGAAATTTAGTTAGGTACCAGTAACACACTGTAATGATACAATGTCTGCAAAGGCAAGTCTCCTGACAGTAATTATTGTTTAAAACAATTTCTTCACTATTTTTGGATGTTTACATTTCCATGTAGACTTTAGAACTACATTGACTGCTTCCAATAGGGCATATATTCATAGGTGATCAGCTTTGCTTTGAAATAAGTAACTTAAAGCATTACATTATTCACTTTAATATATAATCTTTACTATATTTTTAATTACCATTTAGTCCCCTTATATCCCCATCCTCCCTGTAATCACCACCCTGTTCTACAGGTCCATGAGTTCTTTGTCTTTATTGCTCAATTCCTCCACCCCTAATCTCCCCCTCACTAGCTGTCATCTGTTCTCCATCTATGAGTCTTTACATTATTTTTAAAAAGCTATAAAATTTGATATTATCCTAAGTGGATACCCAGTGGGGTACCAGCCACCAGATTGCAGATCAATGTTTCCAAGTACTCCTCTTCTTTAGGGGAATTTTCTTAGAAAAGTGGAATCAGGCTTTAGAGTAAGAAACTAGATTTGTACACTGCCTCAACTGCTTACTGTTTTATAACCTTGAGCCCATTACTTAAGTTGGTTGAATGTCAGTTTATTCACTTGAAAAATGAAGTTGAAAAATGGCCACCTTGTGAAATCCACATTATGTAAACATTATGTAAATTGTATTTTGAACAACTATGAAATGTGCCTGATGGTTGGTGAGAACTCTTTGGAAAATAATTTCAAATAGATTTTGACAACATCTTCACTATAATTCCATTTATATTTCTGTCCTAACTGTAGAATTGCCATGACTTGATCCCTTTTATGTGTCTGATAAATTTGTATTCATCTGCAACTGTCACAATCCTTTGGGAACCGTTTTTCTTATTTCCCCTTGTTTAGCACTTTCTGTCCTTTATCATTCTGTCCAAAATTTATAAATTATGATTATCTGTTACTTGTTTGCATCCTCAAGGAAACACCTCCTTGATGAGTCACTTGTCACTGGTTTTACTGTCTGAATTCCTATCATATTACCCCCCTCATAGTTCATTCTCAAATGAAGCTGTTGGTTGAACATACATACACTTTGATGGGAAGGAGGAGTGTTCATAGGACATATATATTTTGTACTTTTTCTATTCTTTGCTCTTTGTTTTACCAAAAAAAGAAAAATAAAACAAAGAAACAAACAAACAAACAAACAAAAAAAAACAGGTGGGGAGGAGGGTGACATTGCATCAGTCCGTAGAAGTGATTTTTGTCATTATCTTGTAAAACTGCATGAACTACACATGAATGCCTGGCCCAACTGCCAATAGGAAGTGCAGACACCGAAGCAGGAAGTGCGGACCAATCAACAGCCATTCACAGAGGGGGCGGAATGTACGCACACGCAGAAAGCTGCGTGACCTGAGCACCTCGAGTGGCCTTCCGGCTGAGCTAGTGGCAACGGACGCAAGGCGAGCCCTAACGGAGAGATTGGAACCTGCACAGATAAAGGTATTTTCAGAAAATCACAAGAACTTTGTGTAGCTTCCCATTGGGGGCGGGTTTCTTGGTGTCCTTATTGAAGTTAGATTGGTAGACCCACTGTGCAGTTGCGGTGCTTCGCATGACTATATATTGATATTAAAACAAAGCATTCATCCCGTGCATCAGTGCTCTTACGTTTTCTCTTCTTTTAGGGCTCCCGTTTTACACCACAATGGAAAAGGCTTTAGAACAAGCTTTGGATCGTGCGGAGTATGTCATTGAAAGTGCGCGGCAGAGACCCCCTAAACGTAAACAGTCATCCAGTGGGGGAAAATCTCTCCATGACAAACTGTATGACCTCTATGTCGAAGAATGTGGAAAAGAGCCTGAGGTTACAGAGGAATTAATAAGCAATGTGAACTTGTTAGAAAAGCTTGTTCAGAGGGAGTCCTTGTCCTGTTTGGTGGTCAACCTGTACCCAGGAAAGGAGGGCTATTCGCTGATGCTCAAGGGACCAAATGAACCACATTCAGAGACCATTCGACTGCCTTATGAAGAAAGGGCATTTCTAGAATACCTAGATGCAGAGGAATTGCCTCCTGTATTGGTGGATCTCCTGGAAAAGTCCGAGCTGAACATTTTTCACAGTGGGTGTGTCATAGCAGAAGTTCGGGACTATAGGCAGGGCAGTAATGCGGTGCCCCCTGGTTACCAGAGCAGGCACGTCCTCCTCCGCCCAACGATGCAGACGTTGGCCTGCGATGTACAGTCCATAAGCAGTGATAACCAGGAATGGACTCAGGAAGACAAACTGTTACTTGAGAGCCAGCTGATCTTAGCTACAGCTGAACCCCTGTGTCTTGATCCTTCTGTATCAGTAGCCTGCATTGCAAACAGGCTGCTCTATAACAGGCAAAAGATGAACACTCCGGCGATGAGAAGGAACTTCAAGAAGTATTCCACAGCCTCCCTGAATGTGCAGCAGGAGCCATCTTGTAGTCTGGACCCTCACAACAAAAGTGAGGGCAGTCAGGCAGCTCAGCAGGATAACCTCAAAATTTTCAAAGCAGAAAAATGTGTGGATATGTGGAACCAGAGACCCTGTGACTTGGCAGTCCCTTCTGAGGTGGATGTAGAGAAATATGCTATAGAGGAGAGGTCTGTCAAATACAATGACTCACCACTAACAGTTTGGCCAGCCTATGGTATAAATGATGATATTTCTCTATTTGGATATGAAGCTGGTGATCAGTCCCAGACCACAGAGCTGACCTTCATGCGGTCTCTTGGTGATCCACTTATCTCTGGACAAACTTCACCCAAAAAAGCCAGTTGTGGGAGACAGATGTCTCCCTGCCACTCCTTGAAAGATGACCATTGCTATAGTTTGATGCCTGAGTCTAACATTGACACTGGGGAAGAAGTACAGAGTCTGTTCGAGGAACTGGAGCCACTGAGTGTCGAATGTGCCTTCGAGGTGTCACCAGGCTCCAGCGGCTCAGCCCCTCAGAGCCAGCTTTCTCCAGAGAAAGAAGAAGCACAGCCTTTAGACATGTCAGCTCAGTCTTCAGTACCTGGGGAGGGAGTCCAGTGCACCCCTCCACCCATCAGTCTTCTCTCCAGCTCAGGAGAAAGTTCTTCAGGTAGTGACAGTTTGACTCCCCAACCCAAAAGCAGCTTTCATAAATCAGTATCTCCTATCCCTGCTCCAATGCCACCAAGTCTTCTCCAGAAATCCTCTGTGGAAGTGAACCGTGTTAGCACACTTCCTACAGCCACCCTGTGCACTGCCAGCCCAGCACAAACAACCCCAGCCAGCCAGGTCAAGGCCAAGTATGCTGGCCCCAATTTTATCAAACTGGCAGGCCCTGTTCCTGCAGCCCATACTGTGGTGAGAGGTCCCAATTTCACAAAGGGCTCTACTGCTAGGGTCAGGCCTCCTGTACCAATCAAGCCCAAAGTCCAATCCTCAGAAGATCAGCAGCTACCAAATATACAGCCTGCTGTACAACAGGCCCCTTCACAAGGTATTCAATATATTTTTAAAAATGTTTCAGAAGCCAGGCCTGTAACACTACTCCAGCTTCCACCAGGTACACTCATTTTGAACACTCAGCAGCAGTCTCAGCAACAGCCACAGCAACAGCCACAGCAGAAGCCACAACAGCAGCAGCCTTGTAAACAACCACAGCAGCCTCAGCAGCAGCAGCATCAGCAGCCACAGCAGCCTCAGCAGCATCCACACCAGCCTCAGCAGCAGCCTTGTCAGCAACCACACCAGCCTCAGCAGCAACCACAGCAGCCATGGCAGCAGCCCCAGAAGCAGCCCCAGAAGCAGCCTCAACAGCAGCCATGGCAGCCTCAGTGGCAGCCTCTTCATCAGCCAGGGCAGCAACCACAGAAGCAGCCTCGTCAGCTGCCACTGCAGCCTCGGCAGCAGCCAGGGCATCAGCCACAACAGCAGCCAAGACAGCAGGTACAGCAGCAGCCTCAGCAGCGGTCTCAGCAGCCACGATGGCAGCAGCCACGGCAGCAGCCATGGCTGCAGCCACGGCAGCAGCCATGGCTGCAGCCACGGCAGCAGCCACAGCAGCCTCAGCAGGTGCCACAGCAACAGCCTCAGCAGCAGCCATGGCAGCCTCAGCAGCAGCCTCAACAGCCTCAGCAGCTTCAGCAGCAGCCTTGGCAGCAGACATGGCAGCAACCACAGCAGCCTCAGCCGCAGCCATGGCAACAGCCACAGCAGTTCTATCAGTTGATTCCACAACTTCAACAACCTATATATTATATTCAACAGTCAGTGCCACAGCATTCAAATGTGCAACGTTCAACCCATCGAAGAATGATCTTACCTGCTCAGAAAACTGCTATTGCTCACCTCAAAAGACTTAGAAGTAATCTGCAGCCCCAGAGAGCACTGGGATCTCAACCAAGCTGTACCCAGACAAGACCTGGGCAAAGCCATACCCAGCAAAGGGTCCAGCTCCCCTCTGTCTTGCAGCAGCAGCCGCAGCCCCAGCAGGTACAGTTGAGAGTCTTGCAGTTCCCTGTGCCTGTGCCAACTGTAGCAACCCAAAGAGCTCAGCCACATCATGGCCAGAAGGCAGCAAGCCAGTCAAAAGGTAAAATGAATAGAGGCCTACCCAACACTCCTAAATCATGAGTCTTAAACCGTAGGAGCATTGAATCAAAGGGTTTCTTAATTTTTACTTCATTTTTGTCTTTAATGCCTCAATATTTTATATTGCTAGATGTGCACACTATACAGAAGCACAACCCTATGCTTTTAAAATAAAAATAGGGAAATAATTTAATGGGAAAAATAAGAAATAGTCTATGAATGAAATGAAAATTCCAGTTCTGCAATTTACTATTTCTCTATTAAGCCTATTTTTTAGTGTTTCTGTATTTCCTTGTCTGTAAAATATAAACAGAAATATGTACTTCTTAAGTTTATTATCAAAGTTAATGTAAATAAGGTATATTAAAGATTCAAATTTAAATTAAATTTCATTTTAATTATTAAAATATTAAATATTTGAAAGAAACCTAATTTAAACTGAAAATAAATTATAGTAATAATATTGGTGCTAATAATAGTTCTGTTACATTACATAAAATTCAACCCAATTTTTAAATAATACTAGACTTAAAAATAATAAGTAAGGAAATTATTTATATGTAGATATACAGATATAAATATAGATTAGATTTAGACAGATATAGAGATATAGACAGTTTTTAACCCTCTATTAACAAAAAGTAGCCCTTTATTCTATCTACATGCCCCCCCACATGGTGAATTTTCTGTCTAATAAAACTGGATATATTAGGCACTTGTAATTCATTCTTCAGTAATTGAGGGGTGGGTGATTTGGATATATGACTCAATATCATTTGCCAGACAATATTCTTCAAATGCATTTTTCATGTGGTGCTTATTATTTTGCAAACACTTCATAATATACAAATGTACCTGCTGTCTGCCGTTCATCTTGCTCCTCTATTCTGTCTCAATTATTTTTGTCCCCATCAGACAGGATAATAACCACAAGAGAGAAAAGGTAAAGGTTTCTTGATTTATAATGGACCAATGAGTAAAAAATGATAGGCTTAGATGAACTGATGAAACACATTACAATAGGGAATTATAGGGAAAAGTGTGAATAATTGGGATATGAAAATATTTTTAAATATATCTGTTAACTAAAAATGATTTTTGTATCTTCTAACCAGTACATTTTAGGATAATATTGTAAGGTAAGAACTAAATGGCTATATTGAACCTCTCTCCCACCCCAAAATTTAAGTAATTGCAAACATAGATTATACTTTAAAATATTTTATATGCAACTATAAAGATTTATGTCACTTAAAATGTCATCTTCCTTGGAATTAGAGATTGCTTGAAAAGAATGAGATATCAAAAACATTTTAAAAATACCTTTTGTTTAGTTATTTTGTTGACTTTATTTGATTGTAATGGTATTTGCTAGTTGAGGTACCCCTGTTGATGACTGATAAACATCTTTTACTTAACATGTCAAAATATGATGATATTCATCATCTCCCCAGCCTATCAGAACATTTGCTGTTTGGTGTTAGAATAATTCACAAAGTAATAGGATTAATTAGCAAGTATTTTAAATAATTTTTAAAAACATAAAATCTATCCATACAACCTTACCATCCCTAACTACTTCTACTCCGACTTGTGGACTTTGAGGGATACTTAGAAAAATTCTCAGACTCCCTTTTTTATTGATTATTTTATTTTTAACGGTCAGTCCCATTCACATTTAAAATTTGAAAGCAAACACAGTGAAATAAAATTCTAACTAGGTGAAATATCTTATATCAAAGAATCAGCCCTGGCTGGTGTATCTCAGTGGATTGAGCCCCGGCCTGCGAACCAGAGTATCACAGTTCAATTCCCAGTCAGGGCACATGCCTAGGTTGCAGGCCAGTTCCCAGTAGGGGTTGCATGAGAGGCAACCATACATTGATATTCTCTCCCTCTGTCCTTCCCTTCCCTTCTAATGATAAATAAATAAATTAAAAAAAAAAGATTCAAGTTTGCCAATACTCCTTTCCCATGCCTACAACACTCAGAGATCTCTTGAGCATTCATTCCTATTTAGCACACAAAAAAGGCTAGAAATAGTGCCAGGCATGCCAATCACTCATTTGAAAGTTTCAATTCTTTTTCTCCCTATTTTTATAGGTACCTCACTCATTTTATTAATTAAAGTATAGTTCACATACAATAGTATATTAGTTCCAGGTGTACAGCATAATGACTCCAAATTTGTATTCCTTATTATGCCATAACCACAATAAGTCTAATAATTATAAGTTATTATAAGAATATTGACTATTTCTCCTATGCTGTACTTTTACATCCCTGTGACTTTGTTATAAGTGGAGGTTTGTACTTCTTATTCAACTTCACTTTTTCACCCATCCCCAGAACTCCTTCCCCTGGCAACCATCCCTTTGTTCTCTGTATCTGAGTCTGATTCTGTTTTGTTTGTTTTGTTTCCTAACAGCTGAACCACCACCCAATTTAAGGTACTGAATAGCATACAAAAGTTGGAAGTAGAATGACTCCCAACACTTTACAATACTTTCATCTGTGACATTTCCGACCATGTCACACTCCTTTGCTTCATCTCCTTCCCTGCATCTGCATATTTTATGGAATCAAATCAAAGTATTTTGTTTTGGCAAAAAGGTGTTTTGGGACCTGGATTTGTCCTTTCATTCCTGCAAATCTCCTAACACTTCCCCATTCACATCTATGGCTTCGGCAGTACTTAACTACTGTTGCACCTGATGTGCCATGTTCCTCCAAAATTCCCTGTTGATGGAGACCCCGAACTGGGAACTTTTTTCCATTCTCTGCTCACCACTTAATACTCAGTGTCAGCACCACCACACTGGAGCCTGATTCTATTTCTGTACTTATGGCAGTGTATTTCATACTATTTCACAGGGTTATTTGTGAATCAAATATGATAATACATGTAAGGAAAAATATGAATTGAAAGTATGTATTAATATAACTATACTTTTCAGAGTTTTCATTTATTTTTTTCCAAAAACACACTGTATAACTTTGCAGGCATTTATAGGGATTGGTACTTTTTCTGACATGATTAAACTTTATATAATTATATATTTATATTCCCTAATACTGTCTGTTGAATGTCACATTTGCCTTTTTAAAACATCAAAAGAGTACTAAATGGGAAGTATTGTTATAAAAAATAAGATATATAAAATAATAGTACTTTTATCAGTATTTGACTATAATTTCTCTTTAGGAAGATAAATGATTAAATAATTATTTTATTATCAGTTATTTTAATTAGATAGTTAAATCATAGTCCACCACTTCTAATATTTGAATTTTCTAAGCAACTTAAATACAGTTTTTTTGTCTTTGTGGCTTTTAACCAAGAAAATATTCCTGAAATTATGATTCAGGTATAGGTCATTCTGATGGACTCTAACAGAAAAATCTTCACTCGCAAAACTCCAAGACCACACTGAAGAGCAAGAAGATAAACCACTGAGATACTTCATTTTATTTCAAACCACCATATTTCTTATGCATTTGTATTTCTTAGAAGTTTTGAATTCAGGGCATACACTAAATCTATGCAAATAAAGCAATGTTCTCCTGTCTTTGTTTACCTGTTATTGCATCCTCTGATAATAGTCTAATGGAATACCATTAGATTGAGATACTCTGCTTGGCATGACAGGACTTAAAAGCCAATGTGGTGGGAAAATGGGGAGTCGTTTTCTCAGAGAATGGCTTCAGGTTTGCAAGATGGAAAACTTCTAGTGATTTATTGCACAACCACGTGAACACAGCGAACATTACTGAACTGTATAGTTAAAAATGGTTAAGGAGGCAAATTTTATGTTGTGGTTTTTATTACCACAATTAACATCTAAAGCAACAGTAATGAAACAGATGTGGCATGCAAATATTTCATTTTCAGGGGTCTTGCTGGAACCTTAGTCACTTATGTGCTTACAGCAGGGTAATTGAGAACACAACCCTCTGGAGCCAGGCTGTCTAATTTCAAACCTGACTCTGCCAACTTACTAGTTGTTGACCATGGGTAAGTCACTTAACTTCTCTGTTCCTCAAGTTTTTCATCTGCAAAATGGAGTTATTCAATAGGACTGCTTTTACATAGTAGTTACAAGGATTAAAGAAGATCTTTTGAAGCTATTTAAATTTTCCATAAAATACATTCTCCAGAATAACTGAAATAAAGGGATTGTTCTCACTGAATGTAAAGGATTTGCTTTAGATGATCTAACAGTCTAGGGCTATCTTGCAGGCACAAAATCACTCTGGTGAGCCACAGGGACCGCTTGGAAGTGGTGCTGATTCTCCAAGGCAAAGAAATAAGATCTGCATTATTGTTGACTTTTAAAATGATGTGGCATCAGTTTTCTGATGCTCTGGACACAGTACACAAATGGTAATTCCTAATATATGCCCCAAATCAAACATCCCAAAAGGAGAGCCCCTGAATTGCAAATTAAACATCCTCACACATGTCCCACTCAACAAAGCCTACTTCAAAGTAGGTGGCCGTAGGACTTTAATGACTGATGATTCTTTCAAGCAGAGGGAGAAGGCCAGTGAACACAGTGTTTGAGAGTGGAAGACAGCCCTTGGATATCCTTATAGCCACCAATCAAAACCAGCAGTGCTCAATTACTCACTTCAAATGTTTAACAGTAGCTGTAACAGGGTTGCCAAACCTTGCACTTACTCACAAATACTTAGTATCTATTACAAGGCACAATTTGTCAAAGCCCTAGAGACAGAGCAGTAAATGAGACATAATATCTTTGAAAAGCTCAGCTTAGTACATTAAGAACAAATAAATTTTAACAAAGTAGAGAAAACTTTAGTGTGGCTTTCAAGTCAAATTGTTATATATCAAGCACCATTTGTGCATTAACCTTTTTGGTTCGTATTGTTTTTAAAGACTCTGTGGCATTTGATAATTTTAAGAAACATTGCAACTGAGGATTTAAAATGGAAACAGCAACAGACCTCCAGATGCAGTGTTGACATAGTATCACTTTTTTATCACTTGCCCTCATTTCAGTTTAATAAGCTCTCTCAGC